GCTTATACTATACGTTATGATATTTTCAGTTGTTTGGTGTAACCATCGTATAGTATAAGCTTATACAGCATAATCCCTTAATACATCAAAACGATGTATAACTTAATCCGGCATAAGAGTGAGGGATAAGATCTGATAAGATATTGATGTATTAACATCGTTGACCAATGTAATTCTCAAAAATTAATATATTATTTTAATATTAATCTATTAAAATAAAAATTAATTTTTTAATATATTAATTTTTAAAATATTGAATATTTTTATTTTTATAAAAATTAATTTATATTTTGGACACAATGATCAATAAATTTTTATAAAAATTAATATCATATGATATTTTTTGTATAATTATATAAATTCTTTATTAAAGGATATTTTTATTCAAAATATTTATTTTTATCATATATAGTATTATACAGTACATTACCAAATACTAAATGATATTATTTTATACAATACCGTGCTAAACGTTGGATAGTATTAAAATTCAATCAGGTCTTATACAATCAGGCCTTATACTATCAGGTCTTATACTATCAGGCTTTATCCTATACTATGCACCAAACATGCCCTATGTGAGGATCATATAAGTGCAAAAGACCTCTAGACCTACAACTTTATGGTTTTGGGTTGAGATATGATGTCAGTCCACTTTTTGCGATTTGTCACTTGGCCAATTGTTGGAGATATATTTTGTAAAGGTTTTTGAACTCCCCGTACATTCTCAACAAGAATAACTTAAGGACAAAAAACTACACAAGTATCGCATGATGTATGAGAGTTATTTGCTGCCCTTAAAAGTAGCAATTCTCTTGATTCTCCTACAAGTATGACTCAACCACAAGACCTCTCTTCAAGCTGCAACAGGCATTATTAAGCACTGCTCTTAATAGCTATCAACTCGACTCCTAAAATAGTTTAAGAATTTTAGGAGTCGACATATTTCTCTTTTCTACTTATACGCTTGTATCTGTAATGGGTGGGGAAATAATACAGCTCTTAGAAGTTATGCTATCAACTCGCCAATTGCCAAATATTTTTTTTCTGTTTCAACTAGCAATCATGTATTGTTTCGTGTTAAGTTGCAAACAGGAAGAATACTATTGTTACGAAATGTTTTTACTATCAATTTATTATTATTTTTCAGCCATTGGATTCCACTTTTTAACCGATAATCTCTGAAAAATTTCTAAAGAGAGAGAAAAAGATAACTTTTGATATACTACCGATAATACATAATTATAAGGTTTTATAAAAGTTATGTTATAGGAAAAATGATTGTGTTATGTTATAGAGATTCGTTTTGCGTGCCGTATTTTTTTTTCTTCAAAACATGCGGGTCTCACAAAATATTGTGTGTGTAGGAAACTTTTTGTGGTTATATTAAATGATGAATGCAAATCCCATAATTATATTAGATTAATAGTAGATTGATAGTAAGAACATTTGGTAGTAAGAATATCATACCTCAAGTTGCAATGCTCCAAATGTAAAAGACATAGAATATTGTTACTACCAATTAGTGTTACTACCAATTTCACTATCAGTTTATTTTACATTAGATCGATTATGTTGATCCAACGTATTTATTTCCACTTTCCCATATTTAATATAAGGGTTCACTTTTTCTACCGTCAATGTAGAAAACTTATCTACAGTGAGCCCAAAACGACGTCATTTTGAGGCGAAAATTAAGGTATTTTTGTAATTATAATTTATTTCAGGGTTATAATAGTCTTTTTCATTATAATTTTTTAATTTTTCAACGCAAAACGACGTCGTTTTGGGAGTGAATGTAGATAACTTATCTACATTCACTTTAGAAATATTAAAGCCTTAATATAAAGGTGAAAATAAATATAACCGTTGGATCAACATAATCGTCATAACAGTAAAACAAACTGATCGTGACATTGATAGTAATACTAATTGGTAGTAACAATATCCTATTTCAATAAAAAAAAATATAAAATGTTCAAAAAAAAAAAATTAATTGATATGCTAACATATGAAAGACTTTTTATTGCAGGAGTAAAAAATTAACTCGCATCCAAAAATTATGTGCCATATTGCAATAGCTATCATTATATAAAGCATGTTTACCACATTTTAATAAAGGAAAAAACTAATCTTTTGTCACTGAAGACAAATTCTCTTTCCAACTGATACATCGATTTACATTTGGGTGATATGTTTTTTTTTTTTTTTAATAAATGGCTGGGTCCCATGCTTTGCCGTGTCTCTAATAGAAGATAAAATATCTTCTGTTAAATAAATAAGACTAATAAATTCCTATAATAAATCAAATATAATTCCATCAATACTTTTTTAATAATTTTGTTGTGACGCACACTCACATGTACAATGGAAACTTGAAAATCGCACAGTGAATTTGGAAATCCCAGTGTTCTGTTAAAGGATATTCATTTATGTAAAACTAAAATATTAACAAATACTAATTTACGTAAAACCAGACCAGGTATCTTCATTTTTCACATTAAATTTGATTTTCACTCATACATTTACAGCAATCAAAATTTTAACTTACAAACTTAAGCTATTTTTAATTAATGTCTTTTTTTTTTAATTAAAAACTTATTAGAATTCTTAGACCTTTTGAGTAGTATCTCTGAGCCATTAGCTTTTCAGAATATATCATCGATTTTTATCCCTTTTTTAGTGAGAAGAATATATCATAGATAAGTATGTAAGTAGCCTCGAGTGATCACATTATTTTGAAATCTAGGTAGCTTCGGTAATTCGATAAACATGTTTCCTTAAACATCATACGTCATTTGACCAAACGGGAATGCGCATGAGCAATCTTGCAGGTGCAAGACTCAATAGAACAATCTGAACAATACTTGAGAGATCACTATTGAAATCTAGTTGGATGGATGAGAAAATGGGATGTGGGGTGATGAAATGCCACCTAATAACAGCCCCGTGGTACAGACAGGGTGAGGAATGGTTCGCTTGGTACCATATGCTTGATTTACGAGACAATATAACAAAAAGGAAAAACATAGCAGGACATGCCCAGTGAGGAATAACCATGGCTGAATGCCCAACTCCTTGAGGAAGAGTTGTTTTCCTGCGTTCTATCATGAGAATAACAAACATCATAAACCATTGATATAAACTTTTAAACAACAAATATCCTAACGCACAGAAAAACCCAAAAGAAATTGGCCAAGATTAAAACCAAATTAGTCCAGCAGTCGCAGAAATTTCATTGACCAAAACTTCATCTGATTCCCAAATTTGTTTTGTTACAGCACGGGAAACCCCACAGGCTAGATAATCTGCTCACCACAGGGGATATGGGGGTTATATTACCAAATAATTCCGCTCATGTTAACATGCTGTTCATAAGCCTAGCAGGCTACAATGTACGAAGATTCTTGATCCTATCTTATTCATGGTTTGATTTCAGTTTTCTACTTATCCCACGCATTCTTCTATTTCCTAACCTACATTGAAACAATAGAATCATCATTTCAGAAAACCCATGATAACCCACGATCAACCTACCAATAAACTCTCCCCACAACAGGTGATAGAGAGGAGGGATTGTTCAAAGAAACAACCAAACCTTCATTTCTTTGTTTTCTCATATGAGCCCAAAACTCAAGATTCTCACTATTCAGAATTACAATATCCGTAAACCCATAATTTTCCATATATAAAACTGTAAATCAACTTCAGTCCATATAGTATTAAGGTAAGAGCAGTGTTCTTTGCACATTAACAATCCGACACCTTTCACAGTATCCAAGCATGGCAGCATCTAAGTATAACTGAACCCACTTAAACATTTTTTTCCATGGCTCAAATGTTTTACACCTTATGAACTAAGTGTGCGACAATTATTTCCCCCAAGTAAAACATTCTACAGCTTAAACCACCCATGTACTTGCAGCTGTTAGACGCCAACTTATCAAAAGATTCAAAACAGAATTGTCTGACAACTACACAAAAAATAATCTGTAACATGATGGTAAACCCATTAAAGTGATTTTAGCTCAAAATACCCCTTATGCAGTTAGAAAGTCCCATAAGCAAACCTACATTTGTGAAATCTATATTTGACAACACTGAATATACAATTCAAAAGCATGTCAATCAAATGATGGCAATGATATACATTGACTTTGAAACCAAAAGCATATGGATGCATCACGTATAAACTGTATTACATGCCTTCAAATTCATACACTTGGTTGCATCAACTAAATTCTAGTACTTTACTCCGTTTCTGCCTGAGCATTCGGTTACCTAAGATTAGACCCTCTCAAGCAGAACAGGATCTCTGCATGCAATACATGCAGTTGAAGAAACATTATGAATACCAGAACCCAATGTCGAAAAGCCAACCTGGCCTACTTTTACAAATTCTATTCTAGCTCTTTTCCCAAACAAGGTAAAGTTGATGAGATGCAAGCTTCTTAAAAAGACTGGTTCTAAATTGAGGTTTCAATAGATGACTCTTCATACACCATCCATTTTGTATGACTCTGGGCCCAATTTATATTTCATGTGCTAAAAACATCCGCATTTCTAGCAGATCTTTCATTATAAACCAGGAGCAAATAAACACACACACACACACATTTAACATGTAAATAGTTTGGTGGTATAATTAAACAATAAAACCCCCAGGGTGCCCATCAGTCAAGCCATGCTATGCTTCAATTTGCTCTTTTAGTAAACAAGTAGAGCCTGAGCAAAGCTCTTGGTGAGCCATTCAAAAAGTACTCTCTCCAATTGCACACTTCACTTGCTCAAAATCTCAATTCTCCCAAGTCATCAACAAATGAAACCATATTTCATTTATGAGATAACAACAAAGACCTAGTAACTAAAACTAAGAATCAATCAACAACATGAACTATGACAGGAAGGCCATTTGTCAGGGGAGAACACACATACACACACAAAAACTGCAACACATTCTATTAACATAAACAAGATGTAATTGCACAGTCAAGCTAAAATGTCAAAGGAAAACAAAAATATAAGAATTATGAACAGAGAATTGTACAGTGCTTACTCTAACCATACAATCAAGCAGAGTGTAAACATGGAAATCGAAAGAAAAAATATCAGTAACAAAATAACTCAGTAGTAACTGAGCGTACAGCTCCTGTAGTGAAAGCAGTATTTGAGTAAGAACGTGATCAAACTTTTTCAATCCCGCACAACACATTATCAGCATTGCGAACAAAACAGTGCTTTCAAAGCTCGAATTCTTCTTCCCTGAGAGCCATCTCAGCAGCCTCTTCTTCCTCATCATCCAACACAAAGTACTCATTCTTCTCAACAGGCCTAAACATGTAGAACATGACAATGTAAAACGCAAGGCTAGCAGCCTCCTCTGCAAAATTACTGACCCACTGGTACTTATACGCAGCAATAGTTTTAAGGGCAAAGACCACAATACGCGTGAAATACAAGTATCCAATCACAACAATATAAAACTGCCTGAAAAGCGTCAACTTGGCCAAGTTCCTAGCAGCCTTTCCATCGGTCTTGGAGGTTTCCCTGAGCGACCTTATGGACCAAACAATGGGGAAAATAATAGCGCAGCAACATACAATATCCACGAGCAAGAAAACCTGGTTCCATGTAACCCAATCCTTGATGAAGGGTCCAGTCTCGCCAATCACAACGGAAGCGAGATTCGCAAGAACCTGAAGCGGGATTACAATCATGAGCACCTTCTTCTCCCTCTCCTGAAGGAACGGTTTCAGGAAGGACCAGCCGGTGCCGATCAAGACGATGACGGTGAAGAGCAAGACGATGCGAATGAACTGGAAAATGTAGAAGAGGACATCCCAACCGTGAGGGGTGCCTGTAACCTTGACGTAGTGCTTGTCCTCGGCGGCGCAGATGAGGTTGAGAGCCTTCATGAGGAGGAGCGCCGCCATCAAGAGGTGGATCCGGTGAAGTGATAGCTTGTTGGAGTGGCAGATAAAGAGCCAGAAGGCGAAGAAAGCGAGGTAGGCGATGGAGAAGAGGAAGAACAGTGAAGGGAGTTGAGTCTGGCCGGCGGCGAGGTAGTCGGGGGAGCCGTCGGAATCGAGGTTGAAGAGCTCGGTGTGGACGGCCATGGAGACGGAGCTGTCGGGTGCGCAGTTTGCGAAGAAGAGGCTGAATTCGTTGGGGGTTGCGACGGTGTAGGAGTTATTGAAGGAGGCCAATGGCGGAGGAGAGAGTTTGATGAACGTGAAGAGCAGCGTGATGTAGCGGGAATCCAAAACGCAGAAGCTAGGGTTTTGCTGGATCTCTATCAGGACTTGGAGGAGCGATTCTTCGTTCAGGAGGAAGAACCCAAACAGTGACAGTTTGGGTTCCGCCGCAGAAGCCACCGAGACGGCAGAGACCGCGATGTTGACGTGGCCCGAGTGTGTGAACCCGAATTTCTCGAAGAGGATCATGGGTCGGGTGTCGGAGGTTATGGTTAGGGATTTGATCTCCGCCGTTGAGGGGGAGATGAGGAATAGGAGTAGGACCAAAACGGCGGTGGTGATGACCGTTTTGCTCATTTTCGAGGGAAGGTGCTGATTGTTGCTGTTGAGAAAGAAATGACGCTAACGGAACGACCCAAGTAAACTGTGTGTTAGGTAAGTTAAGCATAGCTTATTGTTGAAGACAATAAGACAACACACTGATGATTGCGATGCCAAGTAAACGACGTCGTCACTAAGGACAACTAGACGGAGTTATCAAAGTCCTCTAAATATATATATATTCTTAAAGTCATGGCTCCTTCGTGATTTTTATTGAAAGCAAAAACGTCTGGATCGAAGAAAATGATCAATGATTTAATAGAACCTGTGACCGGCAAAAAAATTTAAGTATTGTTTTTTTAATAATTATTTATAAAAACACAATTATTTTGCAATTAAATAAGGATCTATTGCATTTAATTACGTTCAATGTGAGATGTGACCAGAAAAGAGAGAGATATTCAGAATAAAACGTGACCCAGAGAAGACACACTTATGCTTATATTGGGGTGTGACTCGCATTTTGTGAAAGCACTTAGACTTATGCATTGTGGCGAGATAATGGGTTCAAAGTCGTTATTCACGTTACAGCATAGAAGAATGAACCACCCTCATCTTTTTCCTCCTTTCTCCTTATAAAAATATCGTCACCACTATGGCTGAGGTATATCTGATTCTCCAAGCTTATCCAGACGTTACTGTACTTTTCTTGAACATTTACACACAGCTCTCCATTTAAGCTCCGAAGTCTCCTGAGCTAGTAACTTAACTACGTTTTCAAAACTAAGAAGTATTGAATCAACAGGGATTTGCCATGTGGTCACGATCATCCCCACCGAAACTCTAAAAAAGATGACATAAAAGATGCCAAATGCTGTTTTATTTCAGATTCCTAGCTATTTGGCAAAATGATCCCAAATTTTGTTCCTTCCTTAAGTTTAACTGGAATCTTTCCTCTTGCCTAGTAGATAGCCTGAATTCTTTTATTGCCCTTCTAAAAGAATGGAACAAAGATGTTTTTGGCTTCACTCATCACAGAAAAATAGAGTTATTGCTCGTATTGAAGGTATTCAAAAGCAGCTCAGTTATCAAAGTGGATCCCATTTAGAGCAGCTGAAAGCTAATTTGAAGAACGAGCTTGAGAATAATTTAAATCAGGAGGAACAAATTTGGTACCAAAAATAGAGAGGTGAGTGGATTGGAGATGGTGACAGAAATACTCGTTTCTATCATACCAAGACTTATAAGAAGAAATAGGAACAAAATTGTGAAGCTTCAGAATGACCTTGGTCACTGGGTAAATGGAGAGGAGGAATTTTTTCCTTAATCTTTTCAAGGAAAACTTAAGAGATAGAATTTGATTTCAGACAAATAATTCTTGGCCATCTCTGATGGATAATCAATCTTAGTTATTATCTATAAACATTTCCGTTGATGAGGTGAAGCAAGCCTTTTTTTCCAAATGACCCCCCTAAAAGCTCGTGGGCCGGATGGCTATTGATGTGCCTTTGGCATATGTGATTTTTCAAGTTGAAATTGATAAGAATTGAGTCATTAAAGAGCAATGTAAATACATATTTGCTAATTATATTGATTCTTTCTATGTCAAAGATATTTCTCACTTATTGTTGTGTTTATATAGGTAAAAGAAGAAAAAAAATATGGAAATTATGAAAGCCTTATGATCTACACCACTCTGCTAGAATTTCAATGATGCATAAAAGTCGTGAGCCAAATGGCAGAGAATTGGCGCAAAGCGGCCCCGGAATTTCACGCACGAGGCAGTGGCTCGGCGCCTAGTGGTGCCAAAATGGCGCCAAACTCATGGCCAAACCATGGCGCCCAAGATGAGAGGAAGAATGGCGCCAACTGGCGCCCAAAAAGTAGAAGGATGGCGCCAACTAGCGCCAGTTTACGTATAACCGGTTCCGACTTTTCAATTCTAACAAAAGCGTGGCGCGAAGTGGCGCCACACCGGCGCCAACTGGCGCCGGTTTGCGAGAAGGAGTACCGTGTTTTCTCAAGGGTATTTTTGGAAGAAAGAAGCGAGATTATAAATAGGATCCTTATGACAGAATTAGGGATCCAGACCTATTCTATTGAAATGAGACGACGGTGGAGCTCTGAGAGGATTCTGAAGAGCAAGTTCTTCTTCTTCTACTTTCTCTTTAATTTTATGCTTTTATTGAATATTGGATTTTTAGCCATGATTATGCTTGGCTAGTTTTACTTTTTATTGTAGTTAGGGTCACAAACCCTATGTGAACCCTTGTTACGACGGATTGGTTTATTTTTACTCGTTTATATAAATTGTCTTTATCTCTATCCTGTGCGTATTTATATTCTCTTTATTAGAATTGATCAATCTGATAGTTGAGGATAGTTTGAGGGTTATAACCCTAGATAGGAATATTGGAGTTTTCATCCTGAAAGGGGGTAGGATAACAGTTCGTATGCATGCTAGAAATAGATGTGTAATGAATTGCAGATGCTTGAATTATCGTGTTTATTGCTTAATTCTCATGAGGGGTTACTAAGGGATTAGGATTCCAATTGAGATTAAAGGGTTAAATTGCCAAGGGATTGAAATTTAACTAATTAATTCTAGATGATAATTATCTGAGTATTTATATAAATAAGTATTTTAAAATCAATCCAAAGTAAGAAGTGGGGATCATAAGGTGAGTGCACTCTAGCTACAATGTTTTTCTCACATTTACAAAAATCAATTCTCAGTTTATTGTTCTATTTCTTATAAACAAAATTACAAAAACAAGTCTTTATTTTTAGTTCTCACTTTTACACAAATCGACAATATTTGTCACAAACCTTTTAAACTCTTCCATTCTTAAAAGGAACAATTAATTGATATACGATCACAATCCCTGTGGAGACGATACTCTACTTACTTTCTATATTACTTGTGTGATCGGTGTACTTGCCGGGAAGCATCAAGTTTTTGGCGCCGTTGCCGGGGATTGGCGTATCTTTTTTCAATTAATTTTGATCTTTAAGATTGGATTTTATTTTTATTTTTGATATTTGAACAGTGCTACTAATCTCTTTTCTGAGTTGTATGCGAGGTAAAGAGTCAGAATTTCCACTTGATTTGGAGATTACAAAAACAGAAAAGAGAAACAGAAAACTTGCTCGGAAGAAGCTTGCATTCAACGAGTCATGAATTCTGTCTGAAGAAGCACACAAGATGGCAGCAAACAATGAAGCGGACAATCCGCTCATGGATACCATTCTGACTCCATCGTTCAACAGGCCCAATGCGGGTATTGTTCAGCCGAATGTTGTCAACAATTGGGAGCTCAAGTCTTCCCATATTCAATTGGTAGAGAGAGCTCAGTTTGGAGGAGAGGAGAGTGAAGATCCTCACCGATTCGTTGACAGATTCTTGAGGATCTGTGACTCAACCAAACACCTTCAGGTGTCGAACGATGCGATCCGGTTGAGGCTGTTCCCTTTTGCTCTTAAGGGAAAGGCTCTTAGTTGGTTGGAAAGGCAGCCTGCAACAAGCATTGCTACATGGGATGATATGTCTCAGAAGTTCTTTGTTGAGTTCTTCTCGATGGAGAGGTACAACCAGATGGTGAATGATATCACCAGTTTCACTCAGTCACAGGGTGAATCAATATGTGCAGCATGGAACCGGTTCAAGGATTTAATGAGGAGGTTTCCTCAATATAACTTGACTGCTGGTAATCATGTTAGAATCTTCTTCAATGGTTGCAAACCTGAGGTTCGGATGGTGTTGAATGGTGCAGCAGGAGGCACTATTAAAACTCTGAGAGCAAACGAGACTCTTGAGCTGATTGAGAGGATGGCTGCCAACGAAAACCAAGTGTTGTCAACAAAGCCTAAGAGAGGTATCCTTCAACTGGAAGGTAATGATGTCGTGCTAGCTGAAAATAGTTTGTTATCTCAGCAGGTAGCAAACTTAACATCAAGGCTTGACAAGATGCAGCTTGCTAGTGTTCAGACTAAAGCTGCTGTTGTTGTGTGTGAATATTGCCAGGACAATCATGAGTCTAATGAATGTCCTTTGATGCCTTCTGATTCACCTCAACAAGTACAAGTGAATGGCGTTTGGTATGATCAAAGACCTCTGCCACAAAATACTCCAAGAAATCAGAATTTTCCTTCTGGAAGTAGTAATTTTCAGAGGAGAGGTCAAGGAGGTGGTTTTGATTATAGTTCTAACAATTATCTGCAGCCTCCACCAATCCAACCAAGGAACCTTCTGATTTGGAGAAGTTGGTTGGACAAATGGCTCAACACTCCAATGCCTTCATGGAAGAGACTAGGGCCAATACTAAAAACATTAGTGCTTCTATCAGGAATTTGGAGAATCAAATTGGCCAGCTGGCTAAGCAAGTTGCTGATAGAACTCCAGGCACTTTCCCTAGTAACACAGTTACAAATCCCAAGGAGGATTGTATGTTTGTCACAATTAGAAGTGGTAAAGTGGCAGCAGTTCCAGGAAAGCCGGGCATAATTGTGGAAGCTGAAAAGAAGCTAGATATTGCAGGTGAGTCCGAAAAAGAAAAAGAAATTGAAAAACCTGCTGAAGTGGAGAAGCCAGTTGAAAAGAAGAAGTTTGAGCTGAATCCGGAATATGTGAGAGCTATGGCACCTTATCCAGAAAGGTTCAAGAAAGATGCTCAGAAACAGCAATATTCAAGATTTCTGGATATGTTCAAGAAGTTACATGTGAACATACCTTTTGCTGAAGCTTTGGCTAACATGCCAAACTATGCCAAGTTCAGGACTTGTTGTCAAGAAAACATAAGCTGCAGGAGTGCCAAACAGTAACACTCACTGAAGAGTGTAGTGCCATCATACAAAAGAAGTTTCCACCCAAACTCAGTGATCCAGGAAGCTTCAATATTCAAATAGCTATTGGTAACACTGAAGTTGGCAGAGCACTATGTGATCTTGGGGCAAGTATTAATCTGATGCCATTATCTGTTTGCAAATCTCTGGGAATTACTGAGTTAAAACCCATTATGGTTTCTCTATAACTTGCTGATAGATCTTTGAGGAGACCAAGTGGTATTATTGAAGATGTGCTTGTTAAGGTGGAT